TTATATATATTCCATTGGCGTCTGTGGAATAGATAGATGGATAAACAGAGAGAGCGAGAGAGAGAGAGAGGGAGAGAGAGAGAGAGAGAGAGAGAGAGAGAGAGAGAGAGAGAGAGAGAGAGAGAGAGAGAGAGAGAGAGAGAGAGAGAGAGAGAGAGAGAGAGAGAGAGGCAGAGACAGAGACAGATATTAGGTCCACGTAAAAAATATTTGGATATTTCGTCGTTGCCTCTGGAGCAAGTGGATTTTTTCCCAGAGGATCAGAGGGTTTTTTTTTTCTAGGAGACCAGCATAAAAGCAGTCGTCGGTGCCTCTGTGACGCTGGAACTGCTTTTCCTTGCATGGGACCGCATTTCCAGGCATGATATCATAGGCACCATATGTTAAAGTGATGAACAAATGAAGTAAAAAAAAAAAAAAAAAAAAAAAAAAAGCGGAATTCCTTACTAGTCCTGTACCGAAAGAAACCAGCAGCATCAGAATCAAAACAATACCCTTTCCCAGGCACTGCTTCAGTCTCCCAGCCGGATTCCTTCGAAACGGGGCATCGCTCCTCGCACAAGCCCTCCTTTGGCGACTGGAATCACCCTCCCCCTTTCTCCCTTCTGCACAGCGGAGTCTTGAAAGCCCTTTTTGTGTAGGTATCGCTTCGTTCATGCCATTGCATTCTTCTCTCTTTCATCATTATGCATCACGAGTAGAAATCACGCAAAAGCACTCACACTTGTATGATGCAGTGGCACGACGCCCCGCCACTGTGCCATGTTTCCGGCCCAGCAGGAGGCTGCTTCCGCGCGAACGAGCGAAAGAGCGAGCGAGCAAACGGGCAAACCAGCAAACGGCCGTCTTAGCCCGTCTCCAAGAGAGGGCAGAATGCCGTAGGCTCCTGGAGGAGGCGGTCGCCAACCCTCAGCCTCCCCCCCGCCGGCTGCTGTCCCTCCGGCGCAGGTCATGTCCCGCTGACCCGCTTGTGCTCGCGACCCGACCTCGCTTTCCGCAGCTCCGTCACACCCGCTCGAGATCAGGTCGCTTATTGAGTTTTTTGTCACCGCGTATTTTTTCTCGCTCTCGCGGCGCTGTCTCCACTAACCGCATCACATCGCCACCACTGCCACAGGTTAGGTTTAGTGCGGTTTTGCGGCCCTAATGTGCTCACCTGTGAAGATTTAGAAAATTATCTGTGTGCCCCAGTGACTATGCCGTGTCGCCGCGTATTGTGACCGCTGCTCCTGGCATGTTTGTTTCTTTGTTGTTTTATTGTAATTTTTCTTGCTCGTGTTTTACATTTCTAATATTATAATCACGATTTACTACCTACGAGTATTCGTTACTTAAATTCTAACCTCCATTTGACAGAATTATAGAGGCATGGATAAAACAAAATATATGATTTAAGACGACAGATAATTGAGTAAAATATAAGATGTAATGAGCAACGGAAATTTATTAAACGCACATGGTATTAAAACAGTTTTTTATATGTTACATGAGTTGCCATTTAGAAGCTTTAAAAAATATAGTAATCGAAACCCAAGGTATTGCATGTCTAAGCAAGCAAGGTAATTCTGACGAACACTCGTACTGCTCACTGTTTTGGGGCTGATCCGCGATGCCTTGTCACGCATGCCACAAACGATGCCACGTCTTACAAATATCACAGCTGTAGCCATTCACTACACGACAAAGGGGGGGGGGCGCAAGAAGACTTCAGGAAAAGTCCAGCTTCCAATAATTTCTCTCATTTCGCAGGAAATCGTCCATCTTTGTTCTTCTCAAAGCGTTTCTCATCATATTCTGGATATTATTTTCCATCTCTTTTTTTCATTTCCCCTTTCTTACCCTTTTCATTCCTTGCCTTTAATTCACCTTTTTAGTGGTTCTTTTTATTTTACCTTTTTAGTTTTATCATTTGAGTTTCTCTGTTTTCTGTCTCTTCTCTTTTTCGTTCATTCCATGACTTGAAGTAATGATACTGCTAATGAGTTAGTAAATTTTAAGCTAATAGCATTGCATTGCTTCATAGTTCTTTCGAATTGAGACTAAAGAAAGGTATCGTAACAAAAATGTTTCCCCTAAAATTACTTGTTTTCTTTAAACAATCAAACATTAACGTTTTCTTTGATTACTAAGAATAGGGATAACTAATTCTATAATTTTGTTAAGGTAGGTGGTGTGTAGGGAAACCTTAGTTTGCGACATAAATGTGTAAATTTCTATTTATAGTCCAAATGAGGTAAAAATTGTGTTATTTCCTTGATAAATATGATAAGTAACAACTTATTTGTACAAATTAACTGTGTTGACTAAATAGGATCTTCGATGCCACAAAGGCAATGCACGCATGGCATTGTTTAAAAGAATTGAGAAATCATAATAATGAAAATAAAGAAAGAAATGAAGAGTAATAAGAAAAAAAAATCAGAGGGCTCATCAAAGGTAAAATTAGATAGAGTTAGGTATAAAAACCGCAAGACAAGAATTTTGTGATGGAGTCTTATGC